TTTTTTTAAATGAGTGTAGTGGGTTGCAGCACTGTCCTGTGGTGGGAATGAATCTATCTGGAGTCTGTAGTTAAGTATTGTTTGCAGCTTCACAGCTTGTCTCTGTGGTTCATTCCCTTGCTTCCTAGTTCTTGTAATTAAATGTAGTGCGACTAGCGATTGTGGGGGAGTTGCCAACGTACTTGAATACATTATTATTACTCATGTTACCTTAACTGGCAAAGATGAAAGTGAATCCTTTTCCCCTGATTACATCCTCTTCCATTTATTACCTTTGCTTCTTCTGTCATCTTCCAGATTTAGCATACTTTTCTGAGGTTGCTCAAACTTAGGTTAACCTTTTTAGTAAATGTCTTTCAACTAAGCTAAAAAATCCCCACCATTAGTTGTCTGATTCTGTCAGAGAAACACGAACCTGACATCCCTTTTGCCAGTGTACAGACTCCTGGCAGGCACTGGAAAAAATTAATATTCCCCTGGTCCTTGCAGTTCCTTGTGCAAGCCATGATTCAGCAAGGCAGCCACGTGGGTGATGGTGCAAGAGTGATTACGCCTAGCTGCTGTGAAATGAACAGACTTCTTTTCCTCTTTGGGGGAGTGAGAGAGCAGAAAAGGAGCTTCAGGGTGTATTTGTGCTCCTTTTTTCTTTTTTTTTTAATCCCTTCTCCAGCCATTGCCTATAACCTCTACGGCAATTTCAAAAGTACTTCCTGACGCTGTGGAAACTTGCCCTGCATAATGAAGACAGGGTAAGGATAAAGGAGAGGGGAACTGCTCTTTTCTTCTGCACTCAGCTGTCAGAAAGAGACTATAGCTGTTTGGATTTGAACCTGAACAAAATGATTGATTTTTAACTTCTGATGGTGACTGAAGAATCAGACTTCTGTTTCCTGAAATGATCTGTTGCGAGTGGAACTGTTGTAATTTATTTTAAACTATGAATTCAAAGCTGCTGCGCATTGAAATGGTCCTTTGTGCAAAATAGTTTTGGATCTAGCGTTGTATTTTAACAATGGTCTTTGAAAAAACTGCTCAGAAATTGTGCTAGTTTGCATTATTAATAAATTGCATCTCAAGTTTTTCCTAAAAGCTGAGGTTTTAGTAAACAAGCTGGAAGGATTTTGTTTAACTGCAAATGATGGACGAAGCCAGTCCCTCAGGTGGGAAGCCGATGCACGAGCTCTTTCTGCCACCTCAGTCTGCTCTGCTAGCCCTGCAGCTTGCTTTCCTCCTGTAGAGCTTCTGGGCTCTACTTTGAGTGAGGTCAAGGATCTTTCTGAACACTTAGAACACAGAACAGCTGATGGGAGCCGCATCCGTGAGGGTTCTGCATGGATGTTGTTATGCCAGTTTCTTGAAGTGCCTCATTTTCTTGTGGAATAGATAAATTTGGGGTTTCCATGTTATTGCTTCCAACTTCTTACTGAACAGTGTCTTCTCTTTAGCATACAAGGTGCCAAGGAATAATTCACTTCAGATGAAGAAGCTGTAATACTGAGTATGCAGTGAGCAGGCTTGTGCTGCTTGTGTTACTGAAAAGTAAGAATTTTTACTACAGTGAGAATTTTAAAAATATGTAAACAAAAGTGCAGCAAATGTGGGTGTTTTTTTTTTTTTTTTTTTTTTTTTTTTTTTTTTTTTTTTTTTTTTTTTTTTTTTTTTTTTTTTTTTTTTTTTTTTTTTTTTTTTTTTTTTTTTTTTTTTTTTTTTTTTTTTTTTTTTTTTTTTTTTTTTAAATTTGTAGCCTGAATACTACATTACAACATTGTTAATTTGGTGACTGGGCTCTCCAGGGGACTGGGGAATTAGTGTGGGTTTGTAGGGCCAGGTCTGTTCTTGTCCAGTTTCAGATGCAGGTTAGCTGTTTATCCTTACATCCTGTTCTTGCTAATATCAGACTGCTCAAAAAACTGCACAGATGGAGGAATTAATAGAGTTTATATTAAAAAAATACAGAAAGCTACTCATGGTGTTGCTTTCTTCACATAGTATATCATTTTGGTGTTAAGGTTTTGTGAGATGCTTATTTAGCTACTATTATTTAGTTGTCTGATTGTATTTATTCAAAAGAAGGAGTGCTTGCTTTTTAAATGTGTCTTCCCATTTGGATAGCTAAGGACCCTATATCCTACTATTTCCTGAGATTTGATTAGCATAAGGGAAATGGAATATGGGCCCCTGTACTGCCATCATTCCAAGCCAAACTTCTGTAGGACTGTTGAAGACCATACAGCTGATTTGGTGGTTGAGACCAGAAATTTGTACATCTTAAATTGGTGGCACGCACTTTGTGCAAACAACATGTGTTGCTAGGGAAACGTTTGAAATGAAAATCCCTGTGGATAGGCTGTTCAGACCTGCTGTGAGATTGCAGGGTTCTTAATTGTTTCCCCATATTGCAGTGTAGGGACTGGAAAATACTGAAGATCCTGTAGGTAACTTGCAACATCTGAAAGAGCATTCAGTGAGTGAGTCTGGGAGGCTGCTGGAGGATGCGCATTGCTGTCTGATTCACAACTGCATCCTGGCAGACATGTTTGAGTGTTGCAGGTCTGTCGGTCCATCATCAGGCAAAGGGCTTAAAGGCAGGTTTGTCTAGGAGGGTGTTGCACAGCTTTGACTGCTGTTCCCCATCAGTCTTTAAGTAGATGGGGCAACCAGCACGTCTGGTTTTCTACTTGCACCGCCAGAACTTTACTTTGTGCTGCTTGTGCCTCTGAAGGTATTTGTACAGAAATCATATTGCTTTCTTGGGCATTTATGGTGATAATTAATTTTAATCTCTTTTGAGCTTCACACCATAAACCGGCGTGCTCTTTTGCTGCTTGAATTCCGGCTGCTAGGCTGATTTGTTTTTCTTCATTGGGATCTGCCAGTATTCACCCAGTGAAACTACAGGGAATGGCAGTCCATGTGTTCTTAATTCTGCTGCTAAGACCATGTTGTGTAAGATGCATGTGTTGTACAGAGATGTTGTATAGCATAATATCTGTACTTTGTGATAATTGAGAGTGGATTGCACTGTCTTATCCTGACTCTTTAGAATGGCACCGGTAACGGTTGCAACAGTAGTGTGGCTGGGACTGAATCATGCTTTGGGACTATGATGGGCTGCTGGTGGACACCAGTATGCCATTCATTTCCCAAACTGTTGTGAGAAGAGGAGGTCAACACAGAGGAGATGCCTTGGCTCCTGTTCCAAAGAGGTAGCTCATCATTTCAGTGTATGAAGCAATGAGGAGCATATTTGTTATTCAGCTGTCATCAAGAGGTAATTCCTGTAAATCTTTGTGCTGTTTACTCTGTAGCAGAGAGGGCTGCCTGTTTCTTGGTGATCAGAGAAAAGTCTCCAGGATATTGTGGGGAGTGAGAACAGGCCAATGCAGATTTTCTTGAATGTGGAGTGTGCCATGTAGATGCTTTATTGTGCTGTGTTTTTAGCTTTAGCAGCGATTTGTTTGTGATCTTGCTCATGTTTTTGTTAAGGACTCAGAGGATTGTGGTGATAGTATATGTTGTTTTTACAAATGGAGAAAGTGTGGCACAAAGTGGGGAAGCAATGCAAGTTCTTGTTCAGAAGTAGAATGCATCCAGTGGATCTTAGTCCTATGCTCTTTAATGTAGGCTGCATAATTTGGATAGAGATATTCTTGATATGACAATGTGGACAGTGTGCTGAATTGTGACTTATGAGCACAAGCTATTATTTTCTTCCCAAGATCTTGTCTCATAGATGACAAGAAGGAAAGAATCTAAGGCTTTTAAAGGCGTTTGACTCCAGAGCATTAATCTGTTTGGGCTAAAGCTACCCCTAAAAGATGTACTTGGGCCCTTACATGTTCTATCCTTTTCAGGCACGCAACCTGTGTGTGAACAGAGAGCAAACCAGACCTGGGAATTGGTCCATATTATAACTGACTGTTCTTTTTGACTGGGTTAGTTTTACCACTGGAAAAGTTTGTCACTCCGTCCCACAAATGCTGCTGCTGGCACAGATGAACGGGTGGCCCAGAAGCGGGCGTGAGGAAGGGATCGGCTTCCTTTGGCGGAGACGTCAGTCTGCCGGTGTGGTGTTTGCCGAGTCCCTCAGTTGAATTCACACCTCTGTTCCCTTTTGGCCAACAGAAGAAATGCTACATTTATGTATTCTATGCTCTCTTCCTATGTTAAAACAAATATTTCTATTTCAGTGCTTTCCCTAGCTGTTGATAACCATGTCTGACAACGGAGAACTGGAAGACAAGCCACCAGCTCCTCCCGTCCGGATGAGCAGTACTATCTTCAGTTCAGGGGGCAAAGACCAGTTGTCTGCCAACCACAGCTTGAAACCCCTGCCCTCTGTACCAGAAGAGAGAAAACCTAGGAATAAAATCATCTCCATATTCTCTAGCACTGAAAAAGGTAAGATGCCTCTGTTTTCCAAGGTTACTACTTGTATTCCTTTACTCTTCTTCTAAGTTTTGGTAGCACTTCAGACATTTGAATCCAGCCTGCCCAGTGTAGGGGATTGGAGGAAGCATTGAAAATTGGATATGTGTGGTCAATGAGCCGAGATGTTCTTTCTGTTTGCACTGGGGTGTCTGAAGATGAAATGCTGAGTAAGAAAAATTAAACAACTCCCTGAGGAAAACGACCACCTACTGCTTCTCATGTTTCCTGCCAAGTTTAAAGTAATGCATTTCCAAACAACCCTAATAAAAGTTTGTGATTCCTAGGTATTATATTACTTAGCATTTTGCTACTCTAAATCCAGATTTCTAGTTTAAACTGAGCATCCAGCTGTTTTGGAAGTTCATACTGATGGCCATTTATGTGATACCCTGAGGAGGAAAAAAGGTAGTAAAGATATAGTGAGAGTGTGCAGCGGGCATGAAGGAGAAATGAGAAAAATTAAGTCCTTCTGTCTGTGTAACTGCACTGTTAGGATTAATTACTAGTGGGGGAAAAAGTCTGCATTACTGCAAACAAGGATTATTTCTGTGAAAAAATTGCTGTAATGAAACTAGACTGTGTTTGTGCTTTGTTTCTGTCCTCTTCTGTATGATGAATGTATGTACAGCACTGGAACCCTGATCCTGGTTCTCCAGGATGTCTGTATCCATTTATAACAAAATAGTGCATAGATGAAATATCTTCTAACGTCTGGTATGGTAAAACTGCACAGGGACTTACAAGCCTGACCTGAAACTGCTATGTCTTTCATTAATATCTACCCGTTAGCATTTCTGTGATTACTGTTAAGATGCACAAGGGGAAGACCCTGCTGCTCTTAATGTCTTCTAGTTCTGCTCTTGGCTTTCTGCACCTCATTGCTGATGTGCTGGGCATGACTGGTTCAGTCATGCTGACACAGATTTGACTGTTTCAGGAGACTTTGCTCCTCTGGTTATGTATTCTCTTGGCTAAGTGTTTTCCCCAGGGCTGGTTTTTACTCTCACTCAGCTGCGTGAGCAGTGCTTCTGCAGCCATGCCTCACCCTGGAGATGAACGCTAGAGGCAGGCTTCCCTGTGCTTGGAAGATCTGACTTTCTATGGTCTGGCAGAGTTCCTGCTCTCAACAGTGGGCGTGTTTTCCTTTTTGGAGGTTAGAAAGATTTGGCCAGTGTAGCTTTTGGAAGCAGAATAGTTATTTCACAAGGTCACTTATTGTGAAATAACTGTCCGTGGCTGGATTACAGCAGTAGTAGTGGTGGGCTTTTTTTCTGGCATGGGTAAGAGCCTTAAAGAGGTAAGGAGAGTGTGAGAAGCTACTATAGGTTGGTGGCAGCACCCCAAGAGAGAGACTCCAGGCCTCTGAGGTTGGTGGAGGCGATGAATCTGGGTACTGTCAGCTAGGTGTAGTGCCATGTGTCTGGAGCAGGTTCTAGCTTAGCCCTTCAATACTGCAGAAACTGCTGTTTTACCATTATGTCGCTGGTCATGGGCGGAAATACCTAGAAATTGTCTTGGTAGTGCTGCAAGAAAATCTGGTGGAAGGATCAAATCTGTCCATGTTCAGACTAGGAGAACACTTAAGGAGCTGGGATGGCACTTGTCATTATGCTGTTGCATTGATCCTTCATCAGAGCATTTGTGACCCTTTTTTTGCAGGCCAGGGGTATAATGAAGTCAAGCGTAAACCCCACATGAAAGCAGGTTTTCCTTGCTCTGAATTAGTAATACTGTATAAGACTTGCTTGTGTGGTGAAACAATTTATGAATGCAAGTGGGTGCAGTGCAGCTGGAGAGCTTTGTGACATTTTATAGTGCCTTTAATTTTCCTTGGATGTTTCCTCTTTCTGTCTTGATGGTGGGTTTGTTCATTGCTGAAACGGCTGGGGAGGTGGTTGAAGACTTGTCCAAAGTTTTATTGGCTCGTCTGAAATTGCTTTTGAGTCCCGTTACTTAAGCTTATTCACACCACTCTGTAAATACTGATGTATACCAAATTTATGGAAATCAATCTGCATACTTATTTAGCATGTGTCTGTATCCCTACTGATACTTGGTCATACAAAGTAAAATGAAAGAAATAATTTCCGGCTGAGAAAAGTACGTTTTGGAGAAAATGGTGTCAGTTGATCTTTTCTAGGCGTTAAAAAATATTTAAAGTAATGTCCATCTGAAAAACAGCAGAAGGTTTTACTGCATGGCAAGATAACACGATTAGGAAAAATGATAATTCAGTTGTCTAGCTTAAAGAAACTATCTGCAAGTTGTCTTTTTTAATTTGGAAAAAAATTTGCTGATTGGTTAACCTACAACAAGTATAATGTAAACATCCAATGAAATGTTTTTGGCCCTCGAGACGGCAAAACTGGCTGTCAAATATAAGCAGAATATAAATGGACACAGTGACTTTCTGGCACTAAAGAATAGTCAGATGTTAATTGTTTTATTCATTAGTGTGACTGAGACGCACCCTCACCAGAAATGTGAATTTAATTTTTTTTTTGTTTGTTTTAATTTCTGCTGCTGGGAAGCCTGGCCAGCTTCACCATATCTATTGCCACAGCTCTGCCTGCCGGGTCCTCTCATGGGAGGTTTCTCTAGCTTAGGAGATGGCACTGGGGAGGTGCTGTGCTCTGGGGGACTCGCTGCAGATGGTGAGGTTTAGTCAATGCAGAGTTTCTGCCCCAAGTCTGAGCTAGTTCTGCACTAAAATAATCATAGTTTGGAAGGGTTATTTAATGACCTAGTCATGGAGATTTTTTTTACCCCCTTAGTTCCATTGTTTAGGATAAATGAAGTGATAGTCATCTTTTTACTAGAGTACTTAATTGCCATGAATTTCCTTGGCTAGACTTCTGAAATCAAATGAACCTGTGTGTGGTTTTGGAAAGCTTTAAAATACTCCTTTAAAACAAGAGATGTTTGTCTTTGAGCAGAACTTATTAAAGGAGGTGCTGTGGGGCATCGCTCAGGATATCATGCATGTGACATGCTCAAGACTGCTGGCTCGGGGCAGATTTCAGTGTGGTTTCAGCTGCGGCTCAGTAACTCAAAGCATACCATCTGGAGTCAGCTACCTACTATGACCGGGCTGTTGAGAAACATCTGTGTTTCTTGCTTCGTGTACAGAGGTTGGCCAGAGCGCACCGTAGACTCGCACACTGGTGGGGAGCGAGGGATGCTCGAGGCTGGGTTTGCAATACAGGAGGGTATGTGAGGTACCTTGGGCGACGCCTTGCTGAGTGTCTGTGGCTTCATTTGGGGAAGAGGAGAGCCCAGCTGTTTAAGGCAGTGTTTTAATCAGACAGAGCAGTTCTCCAGTTCTCTGAATCCTTCTCAAGGACCTGCATCTTCCTCCTCCTGGGAGCCGGGGGACTGTATGCTGCTGTCTGTGCAGGGCCAAGGGAGCACATCTTAGATTCGCTCACGGCTTGAAACAAGCATTGCCCTTTACTAAAGGGATTCCCATTTCAATACAGAACTGTACTGCAAACATCATCAGAGGTTGAAAAGCAGCGTGGCCTCACAGTGGCCTCTGAGCCCTGAGTGTGTCCTGCCAACACATGACTCATGGCACTCGCCTCTTGACTGAAGCTTGCTGCTTGTGTTTGTTTGAAGTGCTGCTCTGATCTGCTGTTCCTGTGGGCAGAGGAGTGATTTTTAGTCTTCTTGCCTAGCCTGCTAATAAGACGTGTGTATTTTTAGAATGAGTGAGTTTATTTGTGGAGCACATGCTGGAGGGTTTGAGCACCAGCTCCTGTTCCCTAGAAGTCACTTGCTCCTGAACAGAAACCTTCCCGAGGAATATAATTCCACTCCTGCCCTTGGTTTCACGGAAACAACTGCAAAAGATTGGGAAGAAACAGTACTTTCATTAAAGGTTTTCACATAAGGACGTTTCTCCTGTCCTGTGACTGAACAATGTTAATGAGAACATTTGACAGTCCGTTTGCTTTTTGGCTCTGACCTGCGCAGCCATATTAAAGATATCCTGTTTATAATAGCTGTGTCTTTCCACTTCATTGTTCAGCTGGAGGCAGCCCACATGGCTTTTCATTTGTAAGTATTGTCCTCGGCTCCCCGTCCTTCCTCTCCCACCAACGTGAGGGGATTTCAGACGGATTCTCTGGCTCTGGCTGGCACGATCTATGCTCGCCCCGTGTTCAGCAACTTTTTACCATGTAGTAATGAAGAGGGTGCTGTTTTAGCTGCTCTTTTTTTGTACTGAAACTACACGACTTTTATTTTTAAGGTGAATTTAAAAGCAACGCAAAAAACTTTTTTTTTACATACAAGTATAAAAGAGTAATTGAGTTAGACTGCAACACGGTGTGCTGCTTTCCTTTGTGGTTATGAACACTATGGCGTTCTTGCTGGCTTCATGCACGCCATAATAATTGCAGCTGATGCAGCTGTATGCTCTGCGAGCCCACAGGCGTTCCCAGGATTACACATGCAATTTTCTTGGTACGAGGTTAGGCACGCTCTACAGCTCACTGCCAGGCCTCTGCCTTTCAGCAGAGGGCCATGAGATGAGGCCTTGAGCATCATCTTTCTACCTGGAGAGCAAACAGCAGGTACACTCCTCTGCTTCGGCAAGGAAAGACAGCAAGGCTCAGGCTTTTTTGCAAGAACAAGAAAAGAGGTTCCTGAAACCTTCCAACTTAACTCCAAACCTTTTCTGAGTAAAGGGAACAGAATGGTGTATTTTACATTTAGTTAACTACAAGTTGTCTTCCACTTTTATTTATTTTCTCTTTGTCAGAAAAAAATAAACCAAAAAACCCAAGCCCCAGGTATTATAAAATGTTTTATAAATCCAACTGAATCTAAGTTGGATTGTGCACATGGTCCTTCTCATTATCTGTTTCTGCTTCTGGTACTTATTATGCTTGCTTTCCCCCCCCCCCACCCTCCACATCTT